GGTACGAAAAGTGCAAAAACGCATAATCGCACCGGCCCGCCTGGTGCGTTCCAGCCTGGGTTATTAAAGAGTTTATCTATTTTAAAAGAAAACTTCATAAAGGTAAAAACGCTTCTGCCCTTTTTGATAATATTTCTGACTTGAAAAAATTCCTGGCTGCGTTAACGGCTTCTTCGACAAAAAAGTAATAGCTTTATCCCTGCACATTACTTTTAGACTCTTCGGCAGTCCAAACACAGTTAAATAAATACCTTTCAGCTGAGCAAATTCTAGCGTTTGTATGGCGTACTGCAGACTACTGACATCCAAACTGAGCACAAATTCGGGATCAGCCTCAGGCACCGTCTGCATTTCCTTATGCCATAAGAATTCCTGTGTTGTGGCTCGATTGATTAAAGCACTGCTAACCTAAAACGAAAACTGTGGGACGACAATGTTACATGCGGTTTAGTTATCAAGATTACTCGTATAGTAACCTTTGAGTTGAGAAAATATACTAGACATAGCCATACTCCAGATAAGGGCCATGGTCACGGACATGTTACCGTTAGCTGTTACTTCCGCATTCACTGCGCACATGCATCATCTCTTCGGAAGCCATCGATTAGTCACCTACCTTGCAGTGGTACCATCCCTCACATAAGCGCACTCAACTTCAAACATATTCTCTTTTTTTTTTTCATAATTAAGTTCTTTGATTTAGCCTCTAGCGCACTTTGCATCAAAAAACCTGCTATTAATCTTTGCTCCAATATGCTCACTTCTTTGCATTTCTTTTTTAACGTGGAAAATTTTGTTGGCCTCTGGAAGCATAAAAGACTGTATGCGAAATATGGTGCTAATTTGCTGGCGGCAGTCGATGTCTTCCGACTACCTTTAAACTGAGCAGGGCGTCTTGAACCAATAAATTTAAACACTGTTTAAATGCAAATTTTGCGGCCTAGCAAAGCAAATTCCCTGCGTACCTGCAGATAGGTTACTGGGTTGGGTTCCTTCAGAACCTCGATGCAAAAATGTATCATTGCAGTCGTCTTCGACAGTTTCGTCGTGCATCGTGCAATCTGATCCTTGAATATTCGTTTCTGTAGAAAAAAAACGGAATTAAACAGCCGCTTCTGCAAAAATGAAACGTATATCTATCAAAAATATGGAAGAGATAAATGTGCACAGGTGAAAATATATAAGAAATGCAGTGGGAGAAGACGTAAATCATAATGGACACAAATGGCACAGTGTGGAAGTGCGGCCACTGTTTTCCGACAATCTGGGCTTTGAATTTCAAAATCAAAGAATTTTCAAGAAGTTACTAGTGCTTCCAGATACTTTGAAATTACATGCACCTTCAATCACTTGTCAATTGATTGAGGGACTAGCACTAGCCATTTCAAAAGCAGTGAAAAATGTTGATCATATGCTCTGCTTTCCGAATTAGTAATTTTTTCACCAAACCTTTCACGTGTCCATAAATGCAACTCAGGCGCGAACGAAATTTGATATTACATGTCTGTGTTTACGTTTAGCCACAATACACACTGCCAAAACGTTAATATCTAAGTTTGCTTTGCTGTCGAGCTAAAATGCCCAAACAGACACACAAAGCACATACACATCATGGGAAACACAATTCTGCTGACTAAAACATTTTGCTAACAACAACCTAACATTTCGATAATAAATATATGTAAAAAATAAAATAAAATCTAGACATAGTTAACACCCTTTGGGAGGAGGAAGGCATTTGCAATTAGACTTAACGATATTGCGTACCCCCTGTTCAAGGGCTGCTTAAGATCGCGCTAATGGCGGTTTTGAATTCCTGACATACGCCAGTACCAAACTGCCATCGAAGCAGACAAATGACTAGCACAGCGAGTGATTTTTTCGTTAGCAATGTTGAATTCTTCATATTCAACGCAAGCAGCACTACTAGCGTTGCAAGTGCAGCACAGTAACTACAACAGGCTACAACTCTAAAATATAAAAAATTTCTTGGGGGAAAAGGATAAATTCAGAAAACGCCACTTGAACTGAAATAAAGGAAAAACCGGGACGAGAAGTAGTGAAGAGCGGGACAAAGCGGATGGAGAAAGAGGGAAACAAGACGGACGAAAGACAGGGAGTAGCGGTAATTACAACGCCATACACCGCCTCAGCTAAACGGTCGATCATGGCGTTTGCCGAAACTCCCGGCTTGCAAGGCCAGCCTTCAAAATTATTGAGACGCTTCAGCATAGATCCTCTCGTTTGTGATCACTTAGCTGTGGCTAAAGAACGTTCTGCTTGTTCACGTATTTTGGGGGAATTTTAAAACCATAAGTAAACTATCAATTTCGTTTTAAAAGTTGTTAAAGCGCAAAAATCGTTGAACCTTGTATTCTCTCTCTTCTTCAATGTAACGCAAGAGCTTCTCCTTTCGTTCCTGCAGCTGTTCGATTAAGGTATCAACTTGTGTAACTAGCCTGTGCTGAAAATCCACACAGTTCACCTGCAAAGAGTTTAAAATAAAATCAGAAGTCGGCGCAGAATTATCACCACGATCGTTAAAAGTGAATTCCGCTGGTGGGGCTACGTACTTCGCCACGGACGGTCTAATGTGCCAGCTGCAGACACCGGCAAGACAAAAAGTAACTAAACATGCGATTCACGAGAAATTTCGCACCCGGACGGACGACAGATGACAGCACAGGAGGGCTTGTTATAGGCATAATAGAAATCTAGTAGCATCTCAGATTCCATTCCCACAATTTTATCTGCACCAGTTGCCCTATAAAACGACACCATAAAGATAACCTTTAAAGGCGCACACTTGATGAAAGCACTTCGTGCCATGATGGAAATGGAACTTACCATAGGAAAAAATGATCGAAAAAGAAGCGCTGGTTGGATAATGAGCGAAAGATCCAACCGATAGTGTGGCCGAAAATTAATCGAAGAGGATATGAAGCAAAGCGCGCAAATTCCATTCAAAAAGCATTGGGAAAAAATTGCCCAAACGCGACATTAAGGAAAAAGCTGATGCATACGCAAACAACAATTTTTTATTAAAATGAACCCAGGCTGGAACGCACCAGGCTCTCCGGTGCGACCATGCGTTTTTGCACTAAACTCGCAGATC